GAATTCAACAAATCACTTGCAAAAGCTAAATCTGCTTCTAAACATGTATATTTTACTTTAATCCTAAATGAACTTTTAACCTACATGTAACGAAAATTAATGGCTAATTGGGCCGGGTTGTTCAAAGCTGGATTAGCGCTAATCCAGGATTAACTCTATAGGCCTTATATTAAGACTTAACCCAGGATTAGCACTAATCGAGCTTTAAACAACGGGGCCTTACTGTCTAAAAGCATAGCAGAATAGATTTTGCATAAATTTGGAAACATCATGGTACGGATGCCGGTGCTGTCACCATGACGATACTGCATTCAGGAAATTACCACACTTGGTGCAACAAATGTCTTCTCCGTACCGTGACCGTGCCATGGGCAATGTACGGAATCTATTCTGATATCCAAACCTAGTACTAATTTGGCAAATACGTTATTACTATATGAAATGAAATGGAAAAAGTATATATGAGATATCCCATTATTGTTGCCTGGTTTCTATTGGTGTTCAAGGTACCTAATGTACGCCAATTACGACGCACTTTGGACTTGGTATGCCCTATGTATAACTGAAAGCTTCAATAACCTACGAGATGGAGAATGGGATGATCTACACATTCTATGCCAATAACCTATAGTAACAGCGCCTTAAAATGTGCATTCGATTTAGTTAAGTCCATAGCTTGATTACATGGATATTTCTATAAGAGATGTTAAAGCCAAGTCAATTTATATATGATTACATAGTGACATTCATTTTTAAACTTATATGCTATAGTTCATATTTGATTACATGGGGACATTCGTTTTTGCTATGCTAAAGTCATAAATGGCTTTCTTTGCCATACGTTAATATTACCAAATATGCATCTACAATACTTACTAATCTCCTACATCATTAAAATGAACATTGGTAGACACTGGTGACTTATCCCCATTCACACCCAAACGTGTTTAGTTAAACTGTGTTTTCATTGGAGAAAAAAAAGAGAAACTAGAAACCTACGATACAATGAAACTTTCTAAAATATTATTAGAGCAGGACAAATGATCGGTTACATGCATTATTTTACCAAATATTGTACAGTGCTCGTAGATAGTTTTCCAAACCTGTTTAGATAAACCACTTTAAAAAGATGTTTAATCCTTGGTGTGAATGAGGTATTAGATAGATAAACTGTATCTACCCTGGGGTTATAATGCAATGAGTTAAGTTTCTAGCATCATACATATTATATGCCAAGAATCAGCACAACAAATTAACAGAATAAACAATCACGTATGCCTTAATTTAATTAGGGTAAAAAAAAGTGAAATATAACCATACATAATCGTGCATAGAATATTGAATAAAATAGTAGTGCGTGCAAGTGAACAGTGTCTCTAATTAGTGTGAAATTAAGCGCTAGAAAGCCTAGACACTTAAATAAAGTAATTTATTTATGTATTTAAGTATTTAAAGGTGTGCCCTTCACCCCCTCAGACACACCCCTTCAGTGCTCTTTATTACGGGTATCTAAAGCTACACAGAACGGAGAGGGTCTGATCCATGATACATTATAGCTTTCACGTCATCAGTGGGTACCAAGTCTAACAATTACTTAAAGCCTATTGGATAGAATAAAGCAGAGGGTTCCTAATGATATTTCTGAAGGCCTATTCACTAGTAACCATTTTGGAACACTACGCCAAGCCGACCTCATCGCTGGCACTAAGGGTGGTCAATGCCAGGGTTTGTTGCATTCTCAGCGGTTCTTTTGCGTCCCCAAATTGGAGACTTTTAAGTCACTTTCTAACTAAATTAATTATAAATATATTGTAAATGTGCTACGACGTATAATTGATATCAACAAAATATACAAACTTAATCATAATATGATACCTTCCTCATCTAAAGTAAAATGGGGTGTCATAAAAGAACCTGTTGAATTATTCGTTAAGAGTTGGGGATTGTCTTCCGGTTCAACAGCCTATCCCTGTCTGGAGACATAAGACTAATGTACTAATATATCACTCATGATTGTAAGCTGCACGGCTGCTAATAGCGACTTAATATGCAGCCTGTATACTAAAATGTTGACTAGTAAGTACTACTGCAGATAGAGTTATCAATCTAAAAAAAAATTATCATAAGAATTGCACTCATGGCAACACTTGCTATGACTGTTCATCTAAATACTCAATAATGAGACCAGTCAAAATGACCAAAAAAGCAAAGATTTGTCTGGACAAGTTGAAA